GTTGGCATGGGTTCTCTAAGCCACCTTCAGATTCCCACCTGCTCAGTGATGCTTTTCCCATTTTGTTTGGTGCATGCCTCACCCATGATGGTCAACCTAAAAGGCTTCCCTTTTTCTACCAGGGTGAGGCAACTTGGGGTAGGAGCAAAATCCCAGATATTTTCTGAATGACAGACCAGCAGTGGGAACTGGTGGTTCGGTGGATGTCTTCGGTTCATGTGGCCATGATTTTTAAATGGGGAACCCCCTTAAACATGGGCCTGAATCCTCACCGAAATGATGTCCAAGGGGTCTTCAATTTCAATGAATACCCGTTTTGCAATTTGTCAAATGCTTCTTTATGCTTTTCAACTTGCCATGCCTGAGCAAGACCGAGACAACAGCCATTGCCCAAGCACCGGTGATCGGACCCCACTTCAAGGAAGCACAAGGTCAGTGCCGGAGCGCTGTTCGACGATGTTGACATGCAGTCATGATCATGTGCAGGAATTCTAGCGCGTTTCCCAATTTGTTCAAAAGCAGAACTTTATTTGGGTTCCATGCCCCCCGCCCCAGCCCTGAGTATAGTGAGTAATCAGTCAGCGCATTGCCGCAGTGCCCCCTTTGGGACGTCTCCAAGTGCTATCCCATTGCTCTACTGTCACTGAAGCAACAGATTTAGGTGCTGCAGAGCTCCCTAGCCAACATCATTGAGGGCAGGCTTCGGGTGGCAGCCTGGCCACCAGATGTGGTCATGTGTGTGTGTGTGTGTCTGTGTGTCTGTGTGTCCGTGTGTCCGTGTGTGTGTGTGTGTGGGTGCGTGCGCGTGCGTATGTGCGCGTGTGTGCGCGTGTGCGTGTGTGCGTGTGCGTGTGCGTGTGCGTGTTTGTGTGTGTGTGTGTGGTGTGTGGTGTGTGGTGTGTGGTGTGTGGTGTGTGGTGTGTGGTGTGTGGTGTGTGGTGTGTGGTGTGTGGTGTGTGGTGTGTGGTGTGTGGTGTGTGGTGTGTGGTGTGTGGTGTGTGGTGTGTGGTGTGTGGTGTGTGGTGTGTGGTGTGTGGTGTGTGGTGTGTGGTGTGTGGTGTGTGGTGTGTGGTGTGTGGTGTGTGGTGTGTGGTGTGTGGTGTGTGGTGTGTGGTGTGTGGTGTGTGGTGTGTGTGTGTGGTGTGTTGTGTGTTGTGTGTTGTGTGTTGTGTGTTGTGTGTTGTGTGTTGTGTGTTGTGTGTTGTGTGTTGTGTGTTGTGTGTTGTGTGTTGTGTGTGTGTGTGTGTGTGTGTCTGTGTGTGTGTGTGTGTGTGTGTGTGTGTGTGTGTGTGTGTGTGTGTGTGTGTGTGTGTGTGTGTGTGTGTGTGTGTGTGTGTGTGTGTGTGTGTTTGTGTGTTTGTGTGTTTGTGTGTGTGTTTTTGTGTCTGTGTGCTTGTGCTTCTGTGTTTGTATTTGTTTGTGTGTGTGTGTGCGTGCGCGCGTGCCTGCGTGTGCCTGGCGTGCGAGCGCGGCGTGGCGTGGCGTGGCGTGGCGTGGCGCGGCGCGGCGCAGCGCGGCGTGGCGTGGCGTGGCGTGGCGCGGCGAGGCGCGCGCGGCGCGGCGCGGCGCGGTGCGGCGTGCGCGCGTGTATGTGTGTATGTGTGTGTGTGCGAGTGTTTTGTTTGAGGGGACCTTTCTCAGACAACCCTGAGTTGGCGGTTTGGATTGGTGGTTTTGGGGACTAGGCTTTTGTAGAGGGTTAGTGGGAAACCCGTCTTGAGCCATCAAACCGCCAATGGAGACCACCAAATGGAGGGAAGCTGATTTTGCGACTCGATTTATGCCGAAACCAAAAGGAAGCCGCGAATTGTTCAGCCTGTTTTTGACACATGGCGGTTGATCAAAAGGTCCTTGAAGAGAGTTATGTGTTCGGTGACCAGGGTGTTGGCTTAAACCCCTCCCCGAAGGATCGGCGATGGAGTTCGCGAAAGATTTTGTTCGCGAAAGATTCCGCGTTGGCTGCTTGGAGGCATGCCTTCTCACTTACGTATTTGCAGACCCCGCTCCGCTGTAGACAGGCAGACGCGCAGCACCTTGACTTGCATTCTGCTTGCCGGGCTATTTTGGGGAAGTTTCGCGAAAGACCGGAGAAAGCGCGCGGAGCTTGTTGCAAGGTCCCGCACATCCACGGCAACCGAAAGTGGCAAGGGCGAATGATGGTGACTGCTTTCATTTAACGGTTCTGCAAGCTGCAAGCGCAAGTGAGCTGCGGTTGCTGTCAGCATCCATAATGGCTCCAGAGCGCACGCTGCAGAACAAAAGGACGTGGCAATGGAGTCGCAAAAGGTTCGCGAAATCAACTTTTTTCTTGCGAAGCAAACATATAGTTCAGCTGCCATGAGAGCGTTCAGCGGCGACCGATTCGGGCGCATTGAGCCGAAGTTTGATTCTGTTCGGTCACACGCAACCCCCCCATGCAATTGACTATGGGAGGGTTTTCTGTTTTTTGGCCTCGGCTGGCTTTGGCTTTTGTGACTTTGCGGCCTTTGCAGCCATTGCC